TACTTTTTTCAATGAAATCAATAAATTCCGGAAGAAAAAGTTGGTGGTACATATGGCTGTTAGCATCACTTCATGCACTATAGAATTTTTCATTATCGGTCTAATTTAAATTAATATATATCGTATGAGATTAAATAGACTAAATCATAAATACATGACACTCATGAGGCTATAATCTAACTTGAAAGGATCTCGGTTCCGATCCTATGTGAAGATTACAAACTCATTCTCCCTGGGTGGCTGACACGGACTCTTTAAGCCAAAGCTCCATCTATTCAAGGTGCACCGCAACCCTATGCAGCTCTGCTCTTGAATAGGAGATGAACATGCATTTTCGTTAGATAAGCTAAGGTCAAATATATCTGTTTTACCATGCTCGATTAACAGATTATATATGATACGTACTGCATGAAGTCCACATATCTCGCGGACCATCTTCGCGGAGTTCCATCATCTTCATTAGTATACGTCTGCGCGTTGCACACTATTGTGCAACATTGAACCGGTACGTACCCTTTAACAGCACACTTAGACCAGTATTACCTAAGTATCGTTTTTACATGCTTTGAATTATTATAAATTAGCTCATTGAATTTTTAGATCGAGAAACTTTGAGTTGGTCAAAAATAATATGTGTTTATTCTTAAGTCATTTATTGAACCCATGAGGTGATGTGCAAGCTTAATTCTTAAGTCAAAGTGGTGAAGATTTTTTGTGCGCTAGATGGAGATGCAAAAAGTGCGTTTTCAGTGGGCATCGATGCATGACATTTGGTGGAGATCACATGCGTGGAGCGTTGCAGCGTTATGCCCAAATGCTGACCATCCGAGGAATCCCGCAAAAAATGGTATCATATTTTGCTCGAACTATTTTGCGCCATGTCGTGCCTTGTTCCGCAGGTCATGACCATTTTAATCACGCTTGTTGGTAAAGTCTCATCGTGATTTTGCAATTGAGCGATTGTACTTCCCGATTGGTCTCTAAATCCGTATTTGGTTCTTGGCATGAGAGCAAAGCTCAGCTTCAATATATTCACGCCAATTTGCTGTATTGTTGCTTGCCATTGTTTGAGCATATGGAGCCGACAAAGCCGTAACAACCTCACTTCTCACTATGAACAAATTTATAATATCGGCAATGAGTTCGCTTTCGTCAATCCTAGCACGTTTAGGTGTCGGTAGGCCATCTCCTCCACCGGTAACTTCTCCATCATCTGAGTCGTTCCGTAGCATAAGTATAGGCTCATGACATAGCCTTGTATGCACCACTGCAGGCCAAAATACCAAACGATCTTTTTGACATGTAAGACGAGATGAACGATACTCTGCCAGCACCAATCAGATTTTACCAGAACGCTCGGATGGCATCAGCTTGACGTCTGCGACTGGTTCTACGATGGGATCCATAAAATGATCCCGAACCGACTGTTGATATATTTGATTCTGAACACATCCATCATCACTGTTCTGTAAAACTTTGATGGTAGCTTCTGTTTTGTGCTTGAATATTGGTGACCTTTGGTTAAGTAGTGTGTCTCGGATAAAGCATCCGTATTTGGGTGTACTATGCGAGCATGCTTAAGCTTCCACTGCGCGACAGCCCTGAAATACAGCACGTAACTTGCAAATTACTGCTTACAGCCGAGTATGTACGCTTCACCAATTCTTGACTCCGATGCAGTTCCCTTTCCTTTGCTCCACATCTCACGCGAGAACTCCACTCACTCATATCGCGTTCCGCAAGGTTGCCAATCGACAATCATCTTCCGTCAAGTTCTGGTATGTATAAAACATCAATCATGCACATTCATTTACCACCTACGTCGATCAATTTCATGTGCCAGTTCTTCTGGCGGATAACTTGTTGCCATCAGCTATTGATGCTTCAATGCTTTTTTTCAAGATCCTCTTATTCGACAGGTGCTTCCTTTGCGGTGTCGCATGGGATGTAGCGCCACTGTCGATGGTCTAATTTGCAGATTTTTCTTTGCCCACTGCAAATACCGCGTCATCACTGCTGATACGTATTCTGGCCGGACACTTTCGCATCACATGGTAAACCTGGTCACGATGTATACATTTACCTTCAATCCGTTGTTATTGCGTGGAGCACCACCATTTCTAACGTTGCCTCATCCACCTTTAGAGTATGAAGCATTCCCGTTTATGCAGAACGGTTGCTCCGTAGTCTTCTTAACATGCCGTTTCTCTGTTTCTTTGAGCTGCTTTTTCATCTGTTCAATCAATGGGATGTCCTTTTAATTCTCTACTATCGATGATATCAAATCATGCTCCGACGTCAGATGGCTGAGAGGTATCACCACTCATCAACTGGGTATCCAATAGTCTAGATACCTACAACTTGCTCGTCAAAAGTGTCTAGGTGTTTCGCCATGCTAATATCACTTTCCATCTTGTAGTCGTAAAGCCGTTGCATCATCGTCACACGATTGTGTAGTGTTGAGCGATTGTAAGATTCACGTACCGTTTCCCATGCCTCCATCGTCTGATGTTAATTCTCAACTTCATGCGCAGTGAAACCCTATGCCTTGGATTCGTTCATAAGCCCCGTCTCTGTGATGTCGTTCGTATCCTTGACAGCGAAGACACGACCCAGAAGCTCTTCCTCACCAGAGTCATTCTCATTTTAAATTTTCAGTTGTAGTATATACCACTTTCCAGGACGACTTGAGTGCGCCTTTTTGCCATCACGGGTACGGACGATATAGTGACGAAATATTTGTTGGCGGCTGTTAACTTGTTTTTATGGTAAAACCGGAAACGTCACAAACATCCTGTGTGATACAAATGTTGGTTTTTATTTGGGGATCTGTACTGGTTACGAGACCGACGTGTCTCTCTGTCTTTCAAAGTGAGTGGCTATAGCCAGTCATTTCTACTTGATTCTTTCTACGAAGATTTTCTCTTTATAAAGTTCAGGCTCCGTACACTCAAGATCTTTTAAAAGTTGAAGTTCAGGTTAAACCTTTGATAAATCAAGGAAGAACCCAATGTTTTAGTAGTAAAACCTATAGGGTGTTCTGCATTTAGCTATGAATCATTTACCCATTTTGATGCAGTTGGAAGTTTACCTTTAGAGATTGAGTCGTTTTTAACCTCCAATGTGGGACTGTCCTTCTCTAGCCACGTCGGGAATCACTTTCTCTTCGCACAAGCGCGTTTGTTGTGTTTGAGGAGCTGTTCGAGAACAGTGCTTTTTGACACTATTGAGAATTCGTCTTTTGGACGAGCAAAATGTGATAGCTATGCGTGTAAAATTGCCACATAGCCACATAGCCACAACATCGTTCTCCAAACGTATGGAGCGGCGTAATCTCAACAATTTTGGAGAAATCGACAAAAAACATGTACACAACGCTGCTGATGTGGACATCAGTATTATTTCGGAAGGTGTTGTTCCCCTTTGCGCTAGAATCAAACAAGCAGGATGGCCCTCCCAACATTGATTTGATTTTCAACAAGATTGTAATTTTCAGGCTTGATCCGTAAGGTCTGCATCACGTATATTTGTGATAAAAGTACATCACCAATATTATATGCCAAATACAAAAGAAACTAACCATAGGATGGCTTAGATAAGACCATCGCTCGTAAAGGCACTACGATGGAATTTGTCTAGCCCCGCTGTACCTCACATTATTAAGAAGTACAGTGTTTGCCTGCCTCAGGTCGCAACACCCAACATCATGTGAAAGTGTGTTTTATCATTGGGAACGCGCTGTAGAATGATTAACGTATTCTGAGTGTTCGATACTACACTACCATATTGAAAACGTGGTGGTGAGCCACGCGTCTTCTGTGCTGTGGCTGCAAACTTGTTCTCAAAGCCACGCTCTAGAACGTCTTGATTGCCCGGAATGATAAACAGAACAGTGAGACAGACCGTGTATATGTGCAAAGATGAGCCGTCGATTTTCATGCGGCAGCTCGCAGTGTCCCTTCAGGCTGTGTCTTGTATGGAGCCTAGAAATATGTATTGCGACTGATATCAGACGTCAGACAGTTGAGCTCAAAGGCATTCGGTATGGTGTTAGACGAAGGTAGCTTCGATAAACACATGTATGGTGTTGATGAGATTGAGCAGCGATTCCCACACCGACTGCAAGACGCGCCATGAGATGAGCAACTTTCATTTCTGATGTGAGGATGATCTTTTCGAGACGCACAACGATGCCTTGCTTACTCATATGCTCATAGATCTCTTCAGTCACGTCGAAGTTTTTGCCTTCGAAACTTGAGGCGTGATCCATGGATTACTTCTTAATTCTACTTGTTCAGATGCTCGATGTAGTACTCGAAAAATTCAATTGCCTTGTAGGGTCCAACCCAGCGCACTATTAACTTGTTTTCATAAAGACGTTTACCAGAACGAGACCGGAGCAAGAAGTCAGCTTCTCGGAAGTCTATGCTTCACTTGGCCATTTTTTGTAAATGTATGATGTTTAGTCGTACCACATTTTTCTTGTAAAATAACAATGTAATTCGGGAGGTTGATGTGGTGAAACCCATGATGATTTCAGCAAGTGTTTTGTTGCCGAGGGACTGGACTGTTGTCTGTTCGGGTTGAACTTGATAAAAGATGGGAGAAATTTTAATTTCTTTGCGTCGAGTTGATACTTAAGAAGAAAATGGAGAATGTCGCGATTGATGTTCTCGACAGTACCATTTCCCCATATGGTTAATACTGAAAAAGGTGTGAAGTGTCTTGAATCGTTCAATCAATCTCTCCACGAGGTTATTCTGTAATTATGAACGTTGTTCAATGCCCATATCGATGGCATTTTAATCGCTTTGTCCACTATAATATTACTACAGCCGTCGCCGGTCCGGTTTGTATGTCACGAACAACGAGCTCGTAATGATGCGTAAGCTCATTTTTCGGCGCTAACACGTATTGTGACGTCCCGTGCAAATCATTGATTTATTGCTAGTCATAGCGTTGGGATCTATTGCGACCAGCAGGGTGGTGTGGTCATCACCATGGACGTTGGATCAATGACCCAACCTTCACGTTTTTGTATACCAAATCACTTGATAAAAAGCTCAGTATCAACTCACAAAGCTTGTGGATGTGATACTTGCCTTGTATTTGCTTAGTCATGGTGTTGCATGACGATAGGCAATTGACCAAAACGGGAAAGGATGAGAATGTGTGTGGTGAGTTCCTTTGCTTGACTTGGAATCCACACCATCCCTCATCAGAAGTAGTTCGTCTTCCAACTCCGTCGATGCCACTGAAGCCGATCGCGCAAGGCGACATTGAGCATCGAGTTCAGGGTCGCTAGTCAACCACATAAAAACGTCATCTTGTAGTAACCGAAGGCGAGATACCGATGTTACAGACCGTGTGCGCACAGCCTTGACGACCACGGTCTCTGATGTTAGTGGCGCGTGCCACTGGGACACATAATCTAACCGCACATTGTCTGTTCCCTTGATATGCTCGATCAAGTAGCGCAAATCAACGGGCTGCGACAATTTATTTGCGCCTGAAACAAGCAATATCTTGTGGCCTTGACAATAATGGCTTCAATGGCTACGGGGGTGACCGGTGCGTGATTATCAAGTGATCCTTTATCCGCGTTGAGCTAATTTAAGACTGTCGCAGAATAGACAAGCAGGGAGATCAAAAGGTCAAGAAAGTGGTCTAAATTTTTTGAAAGATGAAGGAGTTGGACAAGACAGAATTTAATTCAAACATCGAGATCGACCACGACAAGCCCGCAAAAACACTTATGAAAATTTAGACTCGTCATCTCGATGACATGGTCCGGTAATTAGGTTTACAAGGTACCTATAATGTCAACTTGACGGCCTGTACGCATCAGGATTGATAATTTAATAATCTTAGCCGCCTACGACGAAAGAGCTATCCGTCAATGTGCTTAGAGTACAACCGATCCTTTATCGGATGTGCTGTACATCACGCAATGTACTCGACTAGATATTGCATGCGCGATAACACTGCGCTTACGTATCCTGGAAGATTCTAAACTGCAAATTATTGTGCGAAGAGTACATTCTTACTGGTATAGTCTACCAATGCAGTGGTAACACTGCTGTTGAAGCATGTTATAGGCATATCCAGATGCTGTTTTGGGCAGTAATACTGATGACAGACGTTCAGTTTCAGGAATAACTGTCATTATTGCAGGCGCGCCAGCGGTATTAAAGTCAAGGTGCTAGCGATTCGCCACGCTCAGCTCGGCGGCTAATGTAAAATTATCGGCCTTTGTGCTAAAGAAGTTTTTTGGACATGTGCAAAGCTTAAGGTAACGAACAAGTGGAGACACACAAGACAAAAATAAAAAGAGATCACTTTAACCAATGTCTTTCTCGGGCGAAGTGCATGGACTTAAGTACGACTGCATCCGCATGAATGCGCAAGAAGAAATTTTGAAGAAAGACTGCATCGTCAGCTTGTATTTTTGCTGACGAAGGCACATTAGTGCCCATTCTCGCGCTCGACCTCCCAGCTTGGAGATAGCTAGCGCCACGCACTGTTGCTTGGCGGATGCCATAGCCATCTCGGCCTCTTTTACCCAGAGCAGGAGATTCTCTTCATACTTACCCTCAAAGGGTCTTAACGCTCACCATGAGCGGCCTGGTTCGGGAGGAGTCATTCGTCGTCGACACACTTGGAACCAAGATGATGCGTTTATAAGCGAGGCAGCGGGTATCTAGACCAAGTCACTCCAAAGAGCAACAAACATTGAAAGCGAGTGAGAGTGTTGAGACGACGGAGCTTTATCTCTTTAAAAACAATATATTGCTGTAATTTTCATGCATATGTTTTACATTTGTTCATGTAGCAAACGAAGCCAAGTACATTCACGAGTAAGGGTTGATAAATCCATCGATTGATAAAATTAAATTAGAGATTTTTTGTGGGCTTACTATGGGATTTTGCGTTCGTTGTCGTTTGATTGGTTTAAAAAGCCCGAAGCAAATATCATTGCGGCTGAAAAATTTGGTATAGATGGCAACGTTGGGACGAAAAAGAATGCTAGACTTAAATTGTTGAACACTCTCATAGCAAATATTCCAGACAGATGTATGTTACATATGTAATTTCTAGCGACACCTCATAGGAACATGACACTTTTCATTTATTAATGACTCAACACTGTGCTCTTGTATAGAAGGATATATAGAAAGTCAAATTAGTTTATGGAAAAGCACGACAGTGTTTTCTCTGATTTTTAACTGAATTTCTCTACGATCCTAGCTGGAACAATTACGAAAGATTGGATTAGCTCAAAGAGAAGAACTACAGCCAATATTTAATCCGAGACAAAGACGACAATAAAGTTCAATGCCTCGTCAAACAAATTAAGAGTGACATCGTCGCCGGCCGGTATCAGATTACTGACACTCAATTAACGAGTCTGCTGGACTGTGTTAAGTTCTGGTTATGGCTAAGGATTCAACTTTACCCAAATTGGACCAACCGCATCGATTTCCTGTCCTGCGCGCCCAAATAATCCACCAAGTTGATATTCTGGGGGAGCATCGCATTTCGCTTTGTCGCTCTCATTCGATGACTCACGACCTCCTTTGTAATTAGCCCCCTTGTTGGTCTTGAATCTGATGAAGCAAACTTTTGTTTTCTCGTCGGCTCTTACAGTGTGCGCCTCCCAGTGTGTAATGTATTCATCAGAATCCAACTGATGAATATGACAATTGTCTTTACTGCCGTAAGACAGATCATACTTTTTGGCATTCGGAAGCACGAAAGTGATGCCGAGGCCATCCACGCGATGACCATAACATATCGTGATTTTCGTTACTTTTTGCCCATGTGCTAACTTGTTGGCATCGCTAAACTCCTCCCCACCTTGTCCACCTACCGATTGGCACGTTGGGAAGGTCTTTGGAATCTGAATCAGCACCTTTAACAAGTGCTAGCACAGAGAGGAAGGGAACAAAAAGCTTCATTGAGGCGTCGGGGAGAAGAAATATTCTAGAATGAAATGATCTGGCAAGTGTTGACTGCTGGAATATAGAATGGACGCTTGTAAGGCATGTGGTGTTATGTTTAGAGTAGGTTCGGTCCTCAAAGTTCTGTGGGTAGCTATGACACTATATCGTTAACCTTATCATATACTGAAGTTATAAGCCGTGAAATTTTTACCTCATCAGCTATTATAGTATTTACAAAACATGTGTCATTTCAAATAAAATTTTGATGCACATCACCATTATTATCCCGCATCTTCTTACGTCACCAGCGACATCTCAGTAAAACTTGCGCATTCACATGATACCTGCTACTATATCACTTCCTGAGGGAATCTAATCATAGTTCTTTTAAGTCAGCGATGCCACGAAATGGCAAGAACGATTGTAATAAATAGCATTTGATTGTAATGTTAAGATATAAGCAGATTAAAGGCAACGCTCAATTTTCACACTAAGCAAAAGAAACACATAATTTTTACCAAAAAAAACTAAACAATGAAATTCGAAAAAAAAAGTGTGCTGCGTTCACTGGATGAGAACATTGGCACTACTTAACGGTATTTGATCAATTCCTATCGTGAAAAAGTACAAGGCTACATGTCGTTTACCTTAACATACCATATATGTAAGAGGTTGTATATGTATAGCTGTACAACGTGAGTGTAAAGTATCGCAGTATTCGAAGTCATCGCGGGTTTGAAAAAACTATAATTAAAGTCGATTTAATGTGCCATGTATGATGGGGATACACAAGTTATTCTGCAATGTCGCAGCTGACAAAAGAAGATCGTACGCGATATAGTAAAAGCGATATGCATCAATATTTTACATGAAATGACACGTGTTTTGTAAAGACGTTAACAGCTGATGCGGTACAGACTGCAGCAATGATCAATCGTCACTTGATTCTTGGGTATGAGACTTCAGGATACAAAGGTCTGCTTTTAGAGAAACTACTCTATACATAAAACCACACTCCGACAATCACCCATATCAGCAATCAGCACTTGCCAGAACAATTCATTCCAAAATATTTCTCTTCCCCCGAAAGCGGCACTACCTCAATGAAGCTCTTTTTCCCCTTCGTTTCTGCGCTAGCTCTCGTTGAAGGTGTTTATCAGTTTCCTGATGACTTTCCGACGTGTCCAGTGGTAGGTGGACCTCATGGGAAGGAGTTCAACGATGCCATCAAGATAGAAGATGGACAAAAAGTGAAGTCTATCACGATATGTCATGGTCATCGTGTGGATGGCATTGGCATTAGTTTCGTGCCTCCGAATGGCATGAGCCAAGATCCGTTTCACGGTAGAAAAAATAAATGTAGTTCTCATGACTTGGCCTCTGACGAATACATTACACACTGGGAAGCGCAAACTGTAAAAGCCGACGATAAAACAAAAGTTAGCTACGTCA